GTAGAGGTAGACCTAGATTAGATTACTGTTCGCAAATAGTTAAGGATGTGGGGTGTTCTAGTTTTAAGGAAATGCGAAGATTAGTTCAGGATAGGAAAGAGTGAATGTGCATGTCCAACAAGTCTTAGGACTGACGATCTTATTATGATGTCCAATCGTTGTTCTATTTTTACATATGAATATTTAATACATTTGGAAAGGCATAAAAAGAAATTTTATTTATGGTTTTGTTGAGGCACACATTTCATCCGAAAGGAGGGTTCTAGGTTATAGGGCAGAATAAACTGATTTTTGTAGCGAATTGAGGTCACTTTCTAAATCAGGTCAGTCCTATTCCTTTCAAATAATTGCGCTTTCACTTCTGAATTTCTTAATCGCATAATTTATTGTTCGAATACTAAATGAACTCATCAAGCACCAATTTTTACTGCTATTAATACTAAGATATGTATTTGAACCAAAGGGGGTTATAAATGCTTCATTTCATAAAGAATCGGAATAGACACGATAGATAAAATGATAAGAACAGTAACTTGAGTTTGACGACATTTTGCGTCGTACTAATTTTATTTGTTTTATACAAATAACTACAAAATATTAAACAACAATAGTAAAATACAAAAATAAAAACATATTATCTAATTTTATACCAATACTTCATTTAATACTCCTTCAATTTTAAGTCTTGTTATCAATAAACTAATTACATCTAAAAAAATATCACAAATTATGGAACTTGTTCTCACAGGATGAGTTATTGTACCCGTTTTTCAAACTTGAATACGAAAGTGTCTTTAGATAATGCCAAACTTCCAACTGGTACTTTGTAGCAGGTACCATTTACCGGCTTAACGGTAAAAGATTGCAGTATTCTACTTAGCATTCCAAAGGCGACAAAATGGTTCAATTTGTCGCCTTTGGAATGCTAAGTAGAATACTGCAATCTTTTACCGTTAAGCCGGTAAATGGTACCTGCTACAAAGTACCAGTTGGAAGTTTGGCATTATCTAAAGACACTTTCGTATTCAAGTTTGAAAAACGGGTACAATAACTCATCCTGTGAGAACAAGTTCCATAATTTGTGATATTTTTTTAGATGTAATTAGTTTATTGATAACAAGACTTAAAATTGAAGGAGTATTAAATGAAGTATTGGTATAAAATTAGATAATATGTTTTTATTTTTGTATTTTACTATTGTTGTTTAATATTTTGTAGTTATTTGTATAAAACAAATAAAATTAGTACAACTATCGTCGGTAAACCGACTTTACAGACAACCGATTTTTTTGACTATAACATTTACAATATACTATTAATAATGTTTTGTTGCAGCTTTGGCTTTTTGTAATTGGTCCAAAATGCAACGAACTAGAAGGGAGATGCTAAGGGCACACACATTTCCCAGGGCATTCACCAATAAGTTCGTCGCTTTAGAAGATCTAATTTCCAGTGAAACGGAGAAATTATTAGTGAAACTTCCTTCGTATGCCTTGAATCAAAAGTCATTGATTCTTCAAACCTGTGCAAACATTTTCATTGGACACTTTTGCTCAAAGATCTTTTCCCATCACGATCCCGACTTCATTAAAATGGTTGAAAATTTTGATGAAATATTTTACGAGGTCAATCAAGGATATGCAGCCGACTTTCTTCCATTCCTGTTACCATTTCATTATAAAAACTTCACGAAAATGAACAGTCATGCTCACGAGATCAGAAGTTTCATTGAGACGCACATTATCCAAAAACGATACGATAAATTCCAAGGTAAGGAACCTGAAGATTTCGTCGAGTGCCTGGCAAAGCACGTTAAGGAATGTGAAGAACCAAAGTTTGATTGGAACACAGCTTTGTTTGCTTTAGAGGATATAATAGGAGGTCATTCTGCAGTTGGGAACTTTTTCGTGAAACTATTAGCTTATCTCGTAAATGAACCTGAAGTCCAAAGGAAAATCCAAATGGAGATTGACTCGGTTACAGAAGATGGTCGTTCATTTAGACCAGTGAAACTGAGTGATAGATCCAAATGTCCATACACAGAAGGAGCTATTTTTGAGGCAATTCGACTTATATCATCCCCTATTGTACCACGTGTGGCAAATCAAGATACAACCATAAACGGTAAGGAAATTCATCTCAATTTATCAACCCTTCAAAAAAACTTCCCCAGGTATATTTCGATACATTAACGTAAATTAATTTTAACNGAAACAATGGTTTTATTGATGGACGATTTCAAACTTAAATAACTCATGGGTCTCTAAGTCTCTAATCCTTAAATATCTCACCTTAAACAACACTCTAAATCGATCGAAACAATGCTCTCTTCGATGGACGATTTCAAACTTAAAGAATTCTTTGGCCTCTAACTCTCTAGCCGTTAATATATCCCACCTCAAACGGTAAAAAATCAACCAAAACAATGTTCTCTTTGATTAACGATTTCAAACTTAAATGACTCATTGGTCTCTAACTCTCTAGTCCTTAATATATCTCACCTCAAACGACACTCTAAATCGATCAAAATAATGCTCTATTTGGTGGACGGGACGATTTCAAACTTAAATAACTCATAGCTCTCTAACTCTCTAGTCTCTAAAATATCTCACCTCAATCGATACTATGTCGATCGAAACACCCACCTTGGCGCCCAAGTGTTCCCATGCAAGTGATTTTATCAATTACCCATTAAAGACACTTTTTTACACCGAATTTGGTATTACAAATTAATCAGTTATTTGACATTGAAATCGTCCATCACTTATTTATTATATCGATCGCCCTTTGCATTCTGCAACACTGATGAAGAAATTTGGACTGAAGATACAAAACACTTTACTTCAATTTTGATTTGACGTAAATGTACTCTCAATTAATTTATTATAAATTACAATTTTACATACATTAACAATATACCTGCTTTGTATCCATACATTTATCACAAAAGCACATCGCAAAATATACACTAAAAAAAGAGAAGTTATTATCAAATATTTCAACACATTTCGTCAGATTGTTTATGTACGACTAACTAGAAAACAAGCCGGTAAATATTCTCAGAAGATATTTTCTAATGTTAAAATAGGTTAAGGCTTTGCAAAACACCAAAACCAACGTCAGAGGCAAATTGTGCACTACTTTTAGTTGACCACATTAATGTGATGCACATACGTACACATGTATCTCCATGCTCCAATTTCTTCATCACACGTAGTACGTGGAACGGTTGTTGTCCAGAGAAATCTGGAACTTTTAATACAAACTTAACCCTCTCAACAACAGAATTTCTTTAAAATGCAAAGTTAGAATCGCCTGAAAATACATAATCTTTCGCTCAATTGTTCGGAGAAAGTTCTTAAACTTTCGTATGTAGTTGAACTTCATATGATAATTTTATTACGCGAATGAATAACATTGCGAATTGAATATGCATCAGACGTTGTTATAAAATCTCAAACAAAGTCTTCACGAGACAGATAATATCGCGAATTAACCACAACAAGAACAATCATCAAGTGATAAAATGTTTCAGTTTCTGTATTTTACGCAGTTGACGCTTTTGCTGGTTTTCGTCCTTACAATTGTTGTTTACATTTTATACAACAGGAAACGAGTAGGCGATGAAGGAAATAAGCACTACACAATGGACCCACCTTCCCCAATGGGACTACCAATCGTAGGGCATCTCCATCTTCTTCATGGTTATAACGTACCGTATGAAGCGTTCACGAAATTGGGACAAAAATATGGTAACGTAATTAAATTGAAGCTGGGGTTTGTTGATAGTATCATTATCAATGGGCAAGAATGCATTAAGGAAGTTTTGATTACAAAAGGACACAATTTCGATAACAGACCAAACTTCGAACGATACCAACAGTTGTTTGGAGGAAACAAAGAAAACTGTAAGTGACTATTTTCCAGAACCGTTTTTGACGTGACAACGTCTTATAATTCGATGGAGCCGGCTGCACGCACGAAAAAACATGACTCATGCGGCGTTACCTCGCTCTGAGGCGTTCCATTTAAGGCATGAAGTGCAAGCGAGAGCGCGGAACGAGCGACAAAGAGGCACAATCGGC